ATTACGATGGTTGGATTAGTACTCCGGACCAAGTAAGATATGAACAAATGTGCAATGCTTTTATGAAGTTAGCTGACTTGGTAGCACATGACGAGTCACGGGCACATGGAATTGTGGAGTGGATTGAATTTCAAACAGAAGAGGCATCGGTGTTGAAGACTATGACTGGGGGCTCACAAAGCGTTGATGAAGCAGGACAATCAGTTGGTGACAAACTGTTGGACCCGAAATTCACAAAAACAAAGGGAGCTCCTAAAAAACTTCGCCAAAAGGGGCATCTAGAAAAATCAAGAAACAAGCGTAAGGTATGATTTCGACAAAGTTGTTTAAACTGATTTTTTTAGAATCGCTACACGTTGAAACTGATTTTTTTTCATGACATGTAGGTGCCAACGAACTCTACATCGAAAAGGCGGAAAGGCAGTGTTCTACCTCTAGGCAGCACACAGGAAAGCGTGGGTGATTTTGATTTAGGGGTCTAAAGACTCTAATGACGTTCGGTTGTATATTTTTTGTCGATATCGAACTGACACGTTCCATGTGGGTGATTTTGGTTTAGGTGTCTATAGAATCCAGTGACTGGGGCTGTATATATTGTCTCAATAGTGAACTGACATGTTCCACGTGGATGATTTTGATTTTGGGGTCACTTATCGCCACACAAATGTGGCTGTATATTTTTGTAAGCAATTAATGAAGTGGAAGTTCATTCTGATTTAAGCAATTAATGCATTTCTATGTTCAAGTGTATATACAAACCATGAAATCTTCTTATTCGATTAAGCAAATTCTTTCGGCATTTCTTAACTTCCAACAAAAAAATTACCAAATTCATTATGTTCGTCGTGAAGATACAAGGGCAACACTGTCATAAGCTACAGAAAAATGATCCTACTACACGATGAATAAATTGTATCATTGCGATGTTTTCTTCCCATTGCCATAGTAACCGAGATACCACTGCACATCCCCATTCCTTGGCAACTTCATAATCAACCTCTCTTCAGTACTCTCTCCAAAATGGTCGCAATATTTGAAACAAGAACATGGTTACTCTTTCACCTTCAGTAATCTCTCCAAAGCCACAACAGTTCAAACAAAATTCATCACCTCCAGCCAAGCCCAATCCCACCGTAATTCTCCAAAGCCCTTTCCAGTTGCCTACTGTATAACGTGTGCAACATTTACAGTTGCCATCCCCAGTGGCTACTGCCCAATCCTACAGCAGTTCAAACAAAATTCATCACCATCCCCACCAGCCAAGCCCAAACCCACAGCAGTTCAAGCTTCAAATTCATCCCCACTAGCCAAGCCCAATCCCACCGCAACA